AATTGCACGAATACAAGGCTTATCGGACTTGGCGTTGCCAAATATACTTGCGAATGTGATAGTCAAGGTATTTATACAGGAGAGTTCTGTGAAAATGGTGAATCTACAACCTGTCTTCACTTGAAGTCTCTGGGATTTACTACGAATGCTTTATATAAGTTAACTTTGGTAGAAACTGCTGAACCCTGTCGTATGGAACAAGTACTTAGCGGTTTAGCTCAAAATGATAATATTACATCAGTATATACATTACAATTCACTAATGAAAAAGAATGTGGGGATCTTTGTTTGTCAACTGCAAATTGTACCTCCATTAGCTGGTATTCAGATACAAGAACATGCTTTTTTCATGACGTCATTAACGATATTATAGATTTCAATACTGGCTTGACCCTAAATCGAGAGTACTATGTCAAAGTATGCGACACTGCCGGAGAAGTTTATTGTGAATTCGTTAATGAAAATGTGACTATTACTAAAATGATACCAAATATAGGAGTAGATCCTATAGATGCTGGGAAAACAAATATTGAACCAACAGCAGGATATAAAAGAGCAATTCTATACACACCGTTTTCTAATCGTCAAATAGAAGCTCTAAAGAATTCTTCACATCTATGCAAACAATATTTTGAATTTAATTGTTATAGAGTTACTGCTAGAGATTGGTTTCTAAGTTTTTATGATTTATCTGTCCATAGATTGACAGCTCCATCGTTTCAAGGTGGATGTCCGCTTTGTATTCTCTCCGACAATTGTGATAGTGATGGCGAATGCAAATGTGATTCCAATGCAGGAACATGGTATAAAGATAGTAGAGAGTTTACAGACAAGACGCTCATACCACTTAGGGAAGTTAGAGGAGGAGATATGGGAAGCTCATCTGAGAAAGCTAATTATGTCGTTTCTGCGCTTACTTGTGAAAATAGTGTGTTAATTGCTGACATAAATGAATGTGCTTCAAATCCTTGTGTAAACGGAGATTGTGTTGATGAAAGTTATGCTTATAGATGTGTCTGTTTTGCTGGTTATGATGGGATGAATTGCGATAATGATATCGATGATTGTGCAAGTCAACCTTGTGTATTGAATAGATTTATATCATGTCAGGATGGAGTTAACGATTATACGTGTTCTTGCAATCCGGGATATACAGGAAAACAATGCGAAATTAGTAAATTGTTCATAAATTACCTCAATTATCGAACTAAAATCAATGTTAATTGTTAGATATAGATGACTGTGCATCAGATCCTTGCCTCAATGATGCATCCTGCATTGATTTGGTTAATACTTTTCAGTGTGAATGTACATCTGGATATTTTGGATCTCGTTGTCAAAGCGGTAAAAGTTATAAGTTATAATGTTGTTAGTTTAACTATTAATTTGTTCAGATTACAATGAATGCTTATCGAATCCGTGCGTAAATGCCATCAACTGTACTCACTATATTGGAGATTATAAGTGTTTTTGTGAAAGTGGTTGGACAGGAAAGAACTGTGATGAAGGCATCTATTTTCATTAAATATGAACAATTAATCAAATTACTTTTGCTACTACAGACTTTTCGGAATGTCAAAGTGATCCTTGCTTATATGGCGGTACATGCCAGGAATTTAATATTGACGATTATGTTTGTGCCTGTCCTCCAGGATTTCAGGGAAAGCGCTGTGAATTAGGTATAATTAAGCAATGATATACTAAAATACTTTTTATACGGATTAAAGATATTCTATTTTCCTCTAGATCTTGATGATTGTGCTGGAAAACCCTGTAGAAATCATGGTGTATGCCTAGACGGAGCTAACTCATATACTTGCGAATGCGCAACAGGTTTTACAGGAAAAGATTGTGCAGAAAGTTTGTCTTTATTTAATTTTATGAAACATTGAGAAATAGCTGATTTAAAATTAAAAAAACACCTTTTTCTTAAAGATATCGACGATTGCTTTAACGTAGAGTGCAAAAATGGAGGAGAATGTGTAGATGGTATCAATTCTTGGACTTGTGTATGCTTATCAGGTTATTCTGGAATAGTTTGTGAGAGAGGTATTTTCAAATTTTTCATAATAAGATATACATACACATAGACTGTATATATACTGTATGTACTTATATTTATGTATCTAAATGTAGAAATTAAAGAGTGTATAATCAATCCCTGTCTTAATGGTGGAGTGTGCACTGAGAAAGCACCTGGTAGTCGAGACTGTTTATGCCCAAGTGGTTTTAAGGGTACTAGTTGTGAATTTGATAAAGATGAATGTGAAGACGAACCATGTTTGAATAGCGGAGACTGCGTAAACAATATAGGTAGTTATAAATGCCTGTGCAAGTTGCCCTTCACCGGATTTAAATGTGATTTAGGTAAGCGAGTTAAATAAAACGAAAAAGATTTTGTGAAGGTATTGTTTAATTTAGTTATAAGTGATGGGCAGTGGAGTGGGTGGAACGGATGGTCACCTTGTTCAGTTCCTTGTGGTACAGGAGTAAAAACGAGATCACGTTTATGCAATAATCCTTTACCATTGAATGGAGGTAAGGCTTGTGAGGGTAATGTGAACGAAGTTCAATTATGTGAGGAGGAAGCTTGTTCAGTTAGAGATGGTAACTGGGGATTGTGGTCAGCTTGGTCTCCATGCAGTTCAACATGTAGCAAGGGTCTTAGAACAAAAACTAGAAAGTGCGATAATCCAACGCCTATAAATGGTAAAGATTGCGAAGGAGCTAACGAAATAGTCGAGGTGTGTAAAGATAGAGAATGTGGCGAAGCTGTAAACGGAAATTGGGGTCGATGGAGCGCTTGGTCTACCTGTGACAAGACATGTGGCCCTGGAATAAGAATTAAACAAAGACTATGCGACAGCCCACCTCCTCAATGGGGCGGAGGCGATTGCATAGGTAACGGCAATGTTATAGAAACGTGTCAAATTGAAAAATGCTCTTTAACAAAAACTTGCGGAGAATTTGGACTGTGGAGTGAATGTGATAAGGACTGTGGAATGGGAATGCAAACAAGAGAGAGATTATGTACTCTTAAAGATGATTCTGTCAATAATGCTAATGGTTCTAGTACAACAAAGCGAGAATTTTTAAATTACGAGCACAAATTTTGTTCAAATAGAAAATGTGAAGGTTTCTGTTTCATTTAATTCTTTTTATACTATATCTATTAAAAATGAATTTAATTATGCTTTTTACAGAAATGTACTGCTCTATTTGTAAACAAACTTTTACAAATATTAATGATTTGTTCAAATGTAGAGGAGTACCAGTGGCTTGCAAAGCAACTGAAACTGCTTGTATATATAGACTTGGAAAGAAAGATGGAGTATATAACTTTGAGAAAGGATGCGCTAAAAAAGCTGAATGTACGCAGAAACAGTCGGATTTATGTACACGTTTAAGCAAATATCTTGTTGATACAGTAAACAAGTAAGCTTTATATAAAATGACATTGTATGACATAAAATCTATTATTTTTATCTCTCCTAATAGCGATCAACCAGACGTAACAAAAGAAGATATGGAACCTCACTCTGATACAGTAATCGAATTGTGGAATAGGTTAGAAGAAGAAAATTGTTACATGTGCTGTCCAGAATCATACTGCAATGTAGCAATTTTACCTCCAGCAAATATGTTGGGATCAGAGGCGAATAGAAAACTACCTTCTAATCTTTTCTTTATAACATTTCTTTTTTTCTATTTATATTAAGCTATACTCTGATTCTGTTTTTATTCTATTCGATATCCAACTAAAGTAATATACCTATAGTTTTGTAACAATGTATTTATTATGTCTCCTGGACGATATATTTAAAACACCTACAAATAGAAATTAATGAGAATATTTGTTTCATAAACCACTGATTCCTTGAATCATAGGAAATTATTATATTATGACCTAATACGAATAAAAAAGACTACCACTTTCGTAATGATAGTCTAAATGGAAAATTAGGATCTTGAAAATTATCCAAATCTAAAAATCGAACATTTGAATCGTATTCTGAAGTGAAAACAGGTAAAGAAAAATGGAGGAAAGAGATGAAATAATTTAAGAGAAAGTATATCTCCCATATTTTTTATTCCCAACCTAAATCGGTTATAAGAGGTCTATGAGATCCAGAAAATTCTAATTGATGTATAGATTCTAAAGAAGATGAAAGAATTATTAAATATATGATTTTCATATTTTATTGCATATATATATATATATATGTATATATGTAGTCGATAAGCATATCTCCTAAATTTGGCAGCGAGCCAAATTATTCGTTATACCAAGTTTACGTTCGCTATGTTATAGTTAAAAATCAATTGTTTTTACACCCGCTTGTCATTTCTTTGTGTACGTGTGTTACTTATAATTACTGCTATATCACCAGTATAGACTTTAAAACCAAACGCGCTGTACTGATAAGTTGTTGTAATAGCGACAACTTATGTCCGCAACCCGCTCAATGACTACATATAAACAGTCGCGATATTAAGTAATTATAACAAGAGTAAAAATGTCTAAAAATCGAAATATTTTGTTTTACAGACAAAGTGTATGGTTGTGAATAATTTTTTCTGTAGGATAGATGACTTGTGAAACATCATGCAAAATTTCAGATAAATATCTATATTTTAAGAATCACTTTTTCACTCTTTTTTACAATACTATGAATTTAGACAGCTATTAAGTAATTATAACAAATCAATCGAGTTCGTGAAAAGTATTTATTTTAATTTATTTATGCATTTTCAGCTGGGTATACAATTTTATATGGCAAAATTATAAGTTTTAATATTTTGTATGCTTACCCCGTGCCTTTTTTATTGCATTTAGCCTTCTTTCGATAGAGGCATATAATGCTTGAATTTCGAAATTAGAAATTTTGAAGAATTCCTCCCTAAAAATTTCTCAAAGCTCTTTTATATTTTTAGGTTGCCTAAGCATAGTTTTCTTCTTACAAATACCCCAAATGGGTTCAATAATATTGATATCTGGGCTATTTGGGGGCCAGTTTTGTAATAATTTCATTTCTTTTTTTATAAAGGGGTGCTAAATTAATAAGATATACTTTATTTTCATAACTTAACAACTGGACGGTAACTCTTATTTCAGGTTGAAAGTTCTTAGCAGCTATTACTCTTAGAATATTAGAAGCATCTTCTTCATCTCTATCAACAGCTTGAGGATTAGCTAATGGTAAGAAGGCGTCGGCTTCTTTTAACTAAATGAAATAGAATTTCTCACTTTTCGACTATGACTTTATATTATGATATATAATATAATTTTAAGTTGAAATTATTAACCTTAACTCTTTCAAGATCGTTTGAATTCATTGGAGTATCATTAAAAAATAATTTTAACCAAAAAGCCCATTTACAATCAGCGGCAACAAACTATTTAATAAAAATTAATTTAATACAAAAAAAAGTCTTCCTGTCTTTTTGAAAAATTGAGGGAAAGAAGAGGTTGCCAAAAAAAAATAGAAATTAACAACTTAAAGAAAAAACTATGTAACCCAAATGAGCCCTTTCTTTGTAAAACAGAAAATTGAATTAACAGGGAAAGAATTGATTTTAAAGCAATTTCGAGAAATTGTTGTTCAAAGCTGTGACGTTATTCCCTAGCAACCAGCTAAAAATATCCAAAAGATCCAAGTTGTTTTTTGTTATTGTACTGCTCTTGCTTGGCAAATGTATACATTTGCAAGTTACAACAGCCCTGGTTTTACTCAAACCTTTAAACAAAGTGGTTAATTTAAATGCTTTTCAACAGCTCATTTGTACTTAGGAGGGTCTCCCCTAAGGGTTAGGGGTAGTGGAAAAGGTTAGGTACAGCTAAGATCTGGGTTAGGGTAAAAGCACTCATTTGTGGACGTTTTCTGTCGCATCCGTAAAAATGAAACAAACTCTTGTAGCTTTTTATTCTCTTTCTATTAAATTGTTCAACAATTTCTTTCAATTCTATCCCATAATTCCTACTAATTAGTAATTGAACATCTATCATATACAGCATATTTAATCATATGTCAAACTTTTTCTATGGGTGACAGGTTAGGAGAATATATAGATTTTTGCTAAGATGAACAATATTCCATAAATAATTTAAACAGTATAAATTTATAAAAGATGCTTCTGGAAAATGTGTATTAGTCATAGATTTATTCAATTCTACTTTATCAAAAATATAATCTAGAATATTCAAAATAAATTTGACCTCACTGTTTCAAAATCCTGCTTTTCAGAGAGGAGGTTCATTTGGGTTGCATAATTTTTTTCTTCCGTTTTTAAATTCTCTTCTTGGTGGGCAATCTCTTTACCATTTCTCTTTCGTTTTGAATCATAGAGATGATTTCGTCATAGGGAATCTCCCAGATTATAATTAAAAGGTATAAAAATGGTCAATTCTAACTCTCATACTGGCAGTTAGTCTTTTTTACCAAAAATCATTTATTAATGATTACTAATTGTGCTTATACACATTGTATTGACAGATTGTTAAAAAACGAAAAAAATATGCCTAAAAGGTGGGAGTTTCTACTTTCGTGTTATATCAAAATGGTGAAATTTTTTATCTAATATTTCTTTTATAGAAAAGCGAAAAAACAAACAAGTTGACAACACCTTATCACTATGATAGATGATCAGTATTTGTTTAAATTACAACAGACAACAAACCTCCAACTTCTAAAATCAGAAATTACTGTAATATTAAAATAGATGAACAGCATTTTTCTCGAATAAGTAACTTTCTTTCTCTCCAGGAATGCATTCGTCAATTGACAATGTTTACTTTGTTTGATCAAGTAGAAAAAAATGTAAATTTCTTTAAGGTAACGCTAAAAAAATAAAAACACAGACATTTACTTATAAAGACTTCTTCCTCAAAGATATTTATTAAAGAAGTTAATGGAATAGTAAACAGAACTCAACATGTGATATCCATCTTTCTTGGAGAGTGTGATAGGTTAAAAAATGAGGAAAGAAACTTTTTTGTAATATCAGTAAATCATATAAATGCACTGGATAATGTGTAAGTCAATAATTGCCATTTAAAAAGTCTTGTACAATTTTTAGAATATGTTTTAATATATTCATAAATCCAGAATGTCTGAATTCATTAAATCAATACAACACTTTGATATGATCATACAAGACATGACTGAAAATGCAAAAATCTTGAAGTATTCTGATACTCTGAATTGTAAAGAGTTTTTTATGGAAAAACAGACTTTAATGACTTTAAATGTCGAACTAAAAACAGCTAAAGATACCCTATTTGTTGCCTTGCAGAAGCTAATAAGCCAATTTCTTTTTATCCTGTTACCAACAACTGAAACTATCAAATTCGAAAATAGAGCTACTACCACAAATAATCAGTTTGCTTTACGTTTAATGTGCAGTGACACTTTGAATGTGACTTGTTCTACAGGAATTTTCCAAATAAACGTTATGGAGAAGAACCAAACATTGAACGAAGCAGAAGGGCAATGGGTTGAACTTTCCTTTGAACTTCACAAAAACACTCCAATAAAAAAAATCATTTCGAATGGAATGGTTAATTTTCAATTTGATTTGAGCTTGTGTAAAACATCTTCAGGTAAAGATAGGCATAAATCAGATAAGGATAGTTCAGTTGCATCATTCAGATATTATTTAAGTATTAAATTGGAAAAATTTGAGTGGAATAATCGGGAATTTTATTTGCATATCAATACGAGAATGTTTGCAATCATATCACAAACATCGCAAATTTATCAAGGTAAAGCCAATATATGGTGGTTTAACTTCTTTAGAGAAGACACTGAGAAACCTTGGAATGAATTTAAGAAAGTTCTGTTGGAATATTACCATACTAATACTGGAAAACGTTTAACATCTCAGCAAATCAACTATTTGAGACACAGATTCAGTAAGGGTTTAACATTTCACAAACTAAATGATCACTTTTTCTTTATCTTTACTAATGTTGGAAAATGACGACAGTATTATCTCTTTTCATGATTTCTTAGTGGTATAAACAGAATATTATTCTAAAAATTTCATTGCACTTACCATGCTTTTTTCTATATAAAATAGAAAAAATATCCAGAGAAGCCCATAAAAGGAGAAAAAGCTCAAAAAACAAATTTTGAAAGGTTTTTTTTCAATTATTCAATCAATTTTATTGCGTTTCTTAATTAGATGAAGGAAATGATTATAATGCAAATCGTGTGGAGTATCGAGTTTTTCTCGGAGCAAAACGGTATAACAATTACACTAATATGATAGGATGATTGCTTACTCGTAATGTTTTAAATTTCCAGTAATCAAGATAACTTCATCCCGGAATTTGATGGAAGGCAAAGCGTAATTGAGCCATGTACACCTGATGTAAAAAATAAACCTCTTTCTGTTGGGCAAAACTTACTTTCGCCTACGCCTGCTGTCCAAAGCTCCCCTACCGCATTCTCTTTAGAAAATAGTTTTTCCCCACAACCCAATAGTAATTTGTTTACAAGTCCGATGTCAGATTGTAACGTTTTGAAAAGCTTGCGTCTCCAACAACATAGTTCGGATGTATTGGAAACTGATGATTCTTTTAAACAATTTGTTGACAGTTTTGATGTGTCTTTCGAATAACCTTAATGATAAGGTAAACTATCACTCTGCAGATTTTTTATTTGATCCTATTAATTCAATACAAATTGATTTTTGTGTAACAAAAACTACAAGTCATGCATACATGTTCCAATCTATAAAAATATGTTGCATTTTTAGTGTATGTGAGTGTCTCTTCAAGGCAAATTTAAAATAAACGATGGTCATTATTTTACACCTTTTATATAGCCCTGATTTGACACCATCTGATAATTATCTTTTTGGAAGATTGAAAAGTCATATCAGAGGTATAAACTATTAAAATTGTTTTATTTAAAACACGATATCTTCAAAAAAGAAATAACCCTGTCTTAAAATTGAATTGTGATCAAATTCTCTATTAAAACAGATTCGAGTTTTGTGCAAACATTCAATAGTTTGTAAAATAGTTTTTATACAAAAGAAAAATTCAAAATTGTCATGAAAATACTTTTCAAATGTAAACTGATTTCTTTCAATTTCAGTATTCTTTTTGAAATGATGAAATTGTATCATTCCTGCTACTTCATTTTTTCCTCTCATTTCATTTTGGAAACATTTTAAAACTGTGAGTTTGTGGTAAAACAAAACAAAAATAAAAACAAGTTCCTACTTAAATTGAAGAAAAATGAAAAAGAAAATGCATCAAACTTTTTATAATATTTTTTTCAATATTTTTTTCAACTTCATTTTTTCTACAAAAAAAGAAAAGAGAAAAAGACTTTTGTCAGTAAACTGAAGGTTTTTTTTGTATATATTTAAAAATTTTTACATTCTCTCCCTTTTTTCTTTAGTCCTTTTAGCTTTATTATAAATTTCACCAAATATATAAATTATTGGATTTACAGTGGAATTTAATGGTATAAAAATTAATATTAACCAATTATATGCTTCATGGTTTATTGGTAAATTTTTAAATAATATAAAGATCAATAAGATCAGTACACGAGTTGATCACATGTTTATTAGGTAGGCAAATTTCAACGTTGGATGAATAAATCCAAATAAAACAGCATAGTTCAAAGAATAAACTATACACGACCTTGACATTTGTCAAATTTTTAAAAAGTATTTTAATATTGTTCAAGGGAAAAACTGTATTATTCAAATGAAATTGTTGAACATTGTCGATTCGTCAGACAACAAATAACAATCTTGAAAACCATCGCATTCAATATCCGATGTAAAACATTCTCCATCGCAAAAATACTGTTGATTACCTTTACATTCTGTACAATTTAAGAGTTAGGTAACTAAGTGTATAACATAAATAATATATTAATGATGAATCAACTGTTTTGGTCCATACGCAATGGTTCTCATCGGAACTATCAAAGCAATTTCGTTCATTGTTACATATGAAATCTTTACGAATACATTGATTGTTATTACATTTTCTGTTACAATAAAAAAATAGACACGCATTTAAATATTTGAAAAGCAAAAGCAAAATAAAAACTCACTTAAAACCTTCGATGCATTCTTGGTATTCTGAAGAGAAAAAATGAATTACTCTTTTTCTTCAAAAAATCAACAAACTGACTGCAAAATTTTTCATCCAATTTATTGTGACAATCAAATACAAAATTACAAACAAATTGGTATTGAATGATTTGAGTGTTATCACAATAAAAACACAATTTGTATTAGTAGCACACTTCAATTCGTCATCTTTATCTTTACAATCCGAATATCCATCACACAAGTATAAAATGTTAATACAAACCTTTGAGGAGGTGCATAGAAAACTATTTAATGGACATTTAGAAAAATTTCCAATGGATAATAAATCATTTATTTCCATTCCAAATTTTGTTCCTGAATTAAAATGATTTAAGTTGTTTTGGAAGAAATTATTAATAATTTTTTTTCTTGACCTACTAATTCAAAACAGAAAAAATATTTAAATAATCTTCCTGTACAAGATGTTCCAAATGCATAGATATTTTTTACACGATTATCATAACTACCCACAGCATGGCAATCAATTTGTGGATCTTCAGATGAAAAATGACGATCTTGTATTCTATGAGTTAAACCGCTTGAGTATACTCTATGAAGATGACCTCTTTTATCTCTCGAATTGATTAGAACTATTATAAGATGTTTTTTATTGTTTGGTGTTTGTGTCTAGAATTATAATTCATTTTCAAAATATTTTTACCACTCGGAATTTCTTGGGATGTCCACTATACAGCTAAAATGAAAAAAAAGTGCAAATTGACACTACTCTCAAAATATCTTATTCTCCTTCCAACCCTAACCCTGACAACAGTTGACCTTAATTCCATCTGTCTTATTGGCTATTGATGGATTTTTCTTCTAGTCAACTATAATATTCATTTAAAAAAAAAAACCTTGGTGAATGTAATCTTTTGCCATGTCATTAGATAGATACGATAACGATAATAGATATCTAAAGACAAAAATTTGTCCAGCTCCGTCGAATATTGTTAAATTATTCCTTTTGCATCTTTCATTGATTTCATTTATCGATGTCAAATATTTCGATTTAAACATATAAAAACAGTAATCTTGGTATAATAGGCCTTTTTCCTGGGAACAATCTAAAAATTGTTGGGTTAGGGTTAATTATTATTGTATGTCTTCAAATACAAGCAACCTTTAGAGTATTTTCTATTATCGCATTCGATATATGGTTGAAAATTAACATTAGCTTCAAAACCATAATTTCTAAGCACAAGTTTATTACATTAACAGATTATTCTAACTTTTGATATTAAAATCTCTCTCTCTCTCTCTTTACCTTCTTCTATTATCACCCAAGTTTTTGATTAGAGTTGGATTTTTTTTAAACTGTGAAAACAAAAGAAAAAGTGAAAAAAAAACATAGAAGTTAGGCTTTTGACATTTAAATATTAACAATTTTGGGTGAATCGCTTAATTTGCGTCTAAACTATTATTTTTATTACAGGAAAATGAAAATAGACTATACGAAAAGTATTCCCTTGTTTTAAATTGTTTTCCAAATTTTCCGTATTTATATCCAAAATATTTGCAAACAACTTCAATCACGTGTTGGTATAAATATAAAGGATTTATATTTGACCAATCATCTTCATAATAGATTTGTAAGACACCTTTAAAACTTTTTTGTTTCTTTCTAATTCTAAGTTTTCTCCTATAAAGCACCCCATCTTTTAATAATGACCCATGTCTGGAATGGAATAATCTGTAACTCATATCTAGAGAGAGAAAGTGATCAAGATGAAATGCGAAATAGACTAAAAAAAAAACTCAATTTTACTCTGAGTTATTGGATTTTTTTCTTCGCAGAAAACCCGATAGGAAACTTGAGAAAAATTCGACCATATTGGTTCGCAGTCTACATTTTCATCATTAAATTTCCATTTACAATTTGTCAATTTAAAAAAGAGTTTAATGTAGAAATTATTTGGAAAAAGTACTCCACAATAATGCTAGAAAAGATAGATATTTTTCTATCAATCAATCAATCAATGTTGAAATTTTTTGTAAGTTTCTTACATTTTCCTTTATCATATTTGTATTAAAGAATCGATATTTTGCATTTGGCTCTTTGGGATATAAATTCATATTCATTTTTTGACATATTGAATGAATTATCTTATATTGATCATCATTTAAATCGAATGCATAGGGAAGTGGACCATAACTTTTCGACTCAAAATAGAAAAGTATTTTGGTGGATATTTTTTAGATTCATCTACTACTCTATGTCCAAAAAGATTAATATAGTAATCACTAGCCAACTTTCTCTCAAGTTCTATAAAAGTATTAACAATTATAAAAAAAAAATTCCTCTTTATTGAAATTTCAAACCTTTCAATTCTGAAAAATTACAAATTATTTCTTCATAATTCTCTTTGTTGTTATTATTATAGAATATTTTAAATTCATACAAGTTTAAGAGGCCAATTCTAATATCATTTGAAACATATACTGCAATTTATTTGATATTTATTATAAATATAATTTTCTTTGGATGTGGTAGAAAACGGCCATAAATCTATGGTTTTACCCTAACCCTAACCCAGCCCTTGTTTTTGCCTAACCTTTTTGACTACCCCCAACCCTTTGATGGTTAAGAACATATCAACAGTTATCTTATTCCTCCTAACCATTTCCCAGGCTGAAATCTAACTTTCAAATATTTCATTTATGGCCGTTTTCGACCAGTCCCATTTTCTTTTTATTTTAGTCCTATACTATAAAATTTTGGTATTAATGATAGAAAATATCCATCACTAACAGACTTGGATTTTACTCTAACCTTTTACAAAATATTATGAAACATTTTGGATATTTTCTCTCAATCCTAAGAAATCATTTTTTGAAAATTTTCTTACTTTCTTCTTTTCTTATATAGAATTGAGTTTTACTACAAAAAAATTGTCTATTTTCTTTTCTAGCAACAGTTTTGTAAATTGTATTATTTTTTTGTTTTCTATAAACTTGAAAATGTTTATAATTTGATGTTAATGCAAAAATGTCTGTTAAAATAAAAAAGTGAAAAAAAATACAAGTTATTGTCAAAATATCAAAAAAGAAGGAAAAATTTCATTAAACCCAACATTCTGTTTGTTTTTTAAAACATTTCAAGCACAAAAGTCCAGGGAAATTGTTACATTTTTTATAATGATAACTGTATAAATATAAAAACATAAGAAATAATTGAAAAATTCAAATATTTAAAAAGATGTTGGCTATTTACAAATAAAGCTTAGTATGTAAACCAAGTACATATCTCCAATTTGTCACTAGTTTAGCTAGAAAAAAAATAGATAAAAAATAAATGTATACCTAGAGTTTTCTTATTTTCCTTTATTTAGTAGATTTGGTGGTGATGGAAAGAATACAAAAAAATTCTACCCTAATCCAAAAAAACACCACCACCAAATCTTTTGACGCCATTTTGTGGTGTTTAAATTTATTTGAAAATCTTACAATAATTGTCACCACAAGGCCTGACAAATTCATCCTATCACAAATTTTATTTGTATTATTAATCATTATTTGGAAATAATTGATAAAAAACTCTTGTTTCAATGATTTAACAGAAACTTTTAAAATTCCGTATGAGTGTATAGAATCAGAGTTAATAATATTTAAATTATATTTAAATTCTGTTTTATTGAAAATGCTATAATCTTCAATATGAAAATTTGAAGTGAAATTATTCAGTAAAGAGAATAATGCAAGATAAATTGTGATTGTCATCATCATCCTAACTATAATTCTTTCTTTTTCATTTCTTTTCTATTCTTTAGTAAAACGCTAATCAATAAAATTTTTTTTTCTTTAATTAAATTGTAATTTTATAGTTTAATGATAAAAATTTAATATAATTTTTTTTATCATAATTTTCCACTTGACTGCCAGATAAAAATATTGTTCTATGTGTATCTATATTCTAATGTTTGCTTCAGGTATCCAATAATTTTACAGTTAGTGAACTGTTCAGTTTATATTTATGTTTAGTAACAGGATGAAATGTTATTTCAATGATTAAAGTCATTTTATTGTATTTTTCAATCAACTATAGAATATGGCTATAATGCAGAGGGTATAAACTACTAAATTGTTCTTAGATCCCATCTAAGGGTTAGGGGCATCTAAAAAGGTTAGATAAAAATAAGTGCTAGGTTAGGGTTAGGGTAAAACCATAGATTTGTGGCCGTTTTCTACGACATCCATAAAATTTATATTCTTAATTTGCAAGTAAATTTAAAATTCATATTTTTCAATATTTCTGTATCAGTAAAAAAGATAATTTCATGTTTACTAATCACTATTTTCTTATCACAACATAGCAACAGCAGGCCAACTATGACCAATTTACTTACTAATTTCATTTCTGTGACATCTTTTTTATACGGAAGAAATATTTAAAAAAATTATGAATTTACATAATCTTAGTAGTAATGAAAAATTGTCTCTTAATTACTACAAGGAAAATATTAAAGATTTACTTAAAGCTCCATCAGCCTTTTATAGATTGTCCACAAAATTGGACTATTTAAAAATATTAAATACTGATGACAAGCATGAACTACAAAAGCAATATGATGGTGGGCAAAAAAATTTGGCAATATCTTCAATTTTTGAAAGTTTGTTCCAGCTAAATTTTTGTGATATTTGGGAAATTTTTTTTGATATGGATAATCTGAATTGTGAAAGATTAGCAAAGTGTTTACATAACAGAGAGATAGCATGGCAACAATTGATTTTTGATACTAAAATACAAAGACAAAAACAATTTACAACAATTCCATTACTCCCTTTTACAAAATTTGAAGTCAAAATATCAGATATTATAACATCTATTGAAATATCTGAAGTACGTAAAGTTGATATAATTGATTGGGAATTACAGAAAACAGAATTTGATTATCAAAATTTCTATAAAATATTTTATACAGAATTCAAAAAGATTTTAATACAAGGAAAACCTGGAATAGGTAAAAGTGTACAGGTTAAATATCTTCTTTACAAATGGGCAAATGAACAATGGAAAGTCGATTCTCAAAAATTATGTCTCTTCATTATTTTAAGAAAGGTTAAACAAGATTCAAGCATCTACCAAGAAATAATTGAACAAAATTTCAAAAATATTCCCTACATCAATGAAAATATAGTGGAATCAATGTTTATTGAAAAGAGAAATGATGTTGTCCTCTTTCTTGATGGGGCTGATGAGTTATATCAAGCAAATCACCCTCTATATACTTTCTTAGAAGATCCAATATGTAATATTCAAACTGTAATATGGTCTCGTAAATGGAGAGCTAAGGAATTAAATTGTAAATGTGATATAGTATTTGAATTAACAGGCTGGAATCCTTTTCAAATGACATCATTCTTTCGAAAATGCTTCAATGAGGAGGATATTGAAAAATCTTTGGAATTTCAAGAAAGTGTAGTACTTAAAAATCAAAAAATTAACAGCCTGTGCAATATTCCATTATTGGCTATGATATTATTTCATGTATGGAAGGAAAAAGAAGAATCTTTTTATGATAAATCTCTTTATGAAAATTATCAAGATATAATAAATATTGCACAAGCAAAACATGGATGCATTGCAATAAATAATGATGCTGAATTACAAACATTTTACGAACTTTGTCTCAGAAATCTATCACAAAACAAAATTCTTCTAGATGACAAAAACCTAATTGAACTTATTGAGACAAATTTTAAATGTATATTGCAAATTATTCCTCTTCCAACCAACCAAGTTGAGTTACAATTCTACCATTTATCCTTTCAAGAGTTTTTTGCAGCTAAATTTCTAATAACAAAAGTTCAAGAAGTAACAAAGAAAAAAAGATTTTTCCTATGTGAATTTTTCTTTTCATCCAAAAACAGTATGAATAGCCTATTTGAAGGACTAACTAACGTAAATCTTTTTAATGTTATGGAATTTATACAACATTATTCTTCAGATGTTTTTCAGAAAATTCTTATACATTTTAAAGTTGCAAAAAATATGTTTGACTTTAGCAACAATTTAATGAACTTTCTACAAAATGGTTTAGAAACAGATAATGTATTGGAATTACAGAATGAAACTTTAAGTGATGATATCCTCAAGATTATCTTTATTAAATTTGGCAAAAATTTAGAGAAGATTATACTGATTGACACATTTGTAAATTTAAAATTAATGATTGATTGCTGTTGTAAATATTGTACTAAATTGAGATCTGTAACAGTAAAAGGTTCAGAAGTTACTTATAATAATGAAATATTAACAGAAGATCTATTTTTGGAAAATATTTTCCATTCACAAATTATAAAATATTTAGAAAGAATAGAGATTGGGAATCAATTTTTGGCTGTGAAAGAAAATAGTTTTTTTGGGAATTTATTTGGATATTTTTGCAGATTTACAATTATCTATTCTTCTAAATATATTACAGAATTTATCGATGAATCATTCGACTCAAAAAACTATTTTACAAACATAAAAATTAAATTCTTTGATGGTTTGACTCTATTAAAAAGACTGGTTATTGGAAATAAAAAATTTGGAGGAATTGGTCAGAAACGTTTTTTATCAATGATAGAAAAAAAGCTACAGAACAAACCATTTAGAAAGTTTGAATCATATAACTGTGAAATTATTAATCTGGATATTAATATTTTGGATAAATATCACACACTAATTACAAATCAATATTTTCAAACACCTATTGGAGGAAAAAAACATAATGAAGAGTTTCCAAATGGATATATCTCTCTTAAAATTGAAAGTAAAAGCCTTTTGACCATTACTTATTCAAATCAGAAAAAAAGAATAGTATGGTATTCTGTCATAAAGAACCTGTTTTCAACGGTTATCTTTATTCATCAAATGGCTACTTAAAAGGAAGCCCTGCAAAATTGAATCTTTACACCTAGTTGGACATTACAGAGATATCTATTCGATAATTCAAATATTTATTAAAGCTGAGAGTCATCTCCTCAGTTTTACAAAAGAGTTAAACTTGACTCATTTTAAAATCACAACTAAAATTGAATTTGGTCAATTTATTAGCACCATTAAACTGCTACCTTTGTTAACCTACATTAGCTTAGTAAATGTACAAAATGTAAAAGATTGTTTACAACCAATTCTACATGAATTTAATAGAAATTTGACCACCTTGGAACATATATATTGTGACTCCTGTTATTTGACACCAGTTGAAGCGCAGATATTGGGCCAACTCCTGGAACAAACTAAACATTTGAAGACACTGAATTTGTCAAACAACAAACTGATAAAAGATGGCTTTGAAGCAATTTGTCTTAGACTAAAACCTTCTTCCAAAATATTTGAGAGAATTAATGTACAAAACTGTAATCTCAATCAGACACATGCAAATTCTTTTGCAGAGTTACTAAGATACTGTTCTAGTTTAGTGTACATCAATTTATCAGGAAATCCAAACATGCACAGAGGACTTTCAATGATCTTTGAAGAGTTACACCAATCTTCAAAAACATTAAAAGAGATTAGAGTCAGTAACTGTAGCTTAACTATTGAAGAAGGAAATTCATTGGGAAACTTACTTAAAAAGTGTTCACATATAACAGAAATTGACTTGTCATGGAATAAGCATATGGGTAAATCATTTGTAAAAATTATAGAAGGATTAAAATCATCTTTCGAAACTTTGAAAACAGTTAATGTTCATGAGTGTAATTTGAAAAGGGAACAATGGGAATCATTTAGCAATTTATTAAAAGTATGTTCTCATTTAAAAGATATAGACTTATCATGGAAAACAAATGTAAGCTACTCATTTAAAGAAATATTTGACAGATTAAAATTTTCTGCAAACAGCTTGCAAAGAGTTAATGTCCAGGTAGGAAATTTAAATTTAGAAGAAAGGAGTTCTTTGGCAAAAATGTTTATGAATTGTTCACATATAAAAAGTATTTCTTTGCATGGTAATAAATATATTTATAAATCATTTGAAGAAATACTCGAAGGATTAGAGTCATCATCAAATACTTTGCAAATTGTTGACCTCAGCTGTTGCTGCTTAAATGATGAACAAGGGAAATCTTTGGGTGAAATTTTCAAAAAGTGTTCTCTTTTGCAGGACATTAATTTGAGGTCTAATAAAAATATTAGTGAATCATTTAAAGAAATTTTTCATTCATTAGGGTCCTCTTCAGAAAAATTGGAAAAAATTGACTTCAGTGACTGCCATTTAAATGAAGAAAATGGATGGTCTTTGGAAAGATTATTCAAAAAATGTTCGCAAATAAAATATATTAACTTGGGAGAAAATACTAGTATGACTCAATCTTTGGACGGTGTATTTAAAGCATTAGCTTCATCATCAGAAACAATCGAAAAGATTCTTCTTCATAAATGTAAATTAACAGAAAAAAATGGAAAATCTTTAGAAAAGTTATTAAAAAAATGTTCACATATAAAAGACATTAACTTAGGAGAAAATGGCACTATGGGTAAATCTTTGAAGGATGTCTTTAAATCATTAGCATCAACATCAGGGACTTTGGAAAAGATTTTTATTCACAAATGTAATTTAACTGAGAAAGAAGGAAAATCTTTGGGAAGATTACTCAAAGTGTGTTCATTTATAACAGACATTAATTTGGGAATTAACAGTCATATGAGCAAATCATTTGCAGATATTTTTGTTGGATTGGAATCATCCTCAGATACATTGCAAAAGCTAAATGTTAGGCACTGTAATTTAAATGAAAAAAGAAGGAAATGTTTGAGTAGATTACTGAAAAAGTGTTCACACATAGAAGACATAAACTTTGAAGCTAATTGGTCTATTGGTGAATTATTTGAAGAAATTTTTCATGGATTGAAATCATCCTCAGATACTTTGCAAAGGTTAAATGTTGGGCACTGCAATTTAAATGAAGAACAAGGGATGTTTTTGGGTGAATTACTCAAAAGGTGTTCACACATAGAAGACATAAACTTTGAAGGTAATTGGACTATGGGTAAATCACTTGAAGAAGTGTTTCAAGCATTGGAATCATCCTCAGACGCTTTGCAAAAGCTAAATATTAGGCACTGTAATTTAAATACAAGACAAGGTAAATTTCTTGTTAAATTACTCAAAAAGTGTTCACACATTAAAGACATTAATTTGGCAGGAAATAAAAATATCAGTGAATTTTTTGAAATAGTATTTCTAGAATTAGAATCATCAGCATTTGCTTTACAAAAGCTCAATGTTACGAACTGTGATTTAAATAAAAGACAAGGGAAATTTCTTGTTAAATTACTCAAAAAGTGCTCACAGATAGAAGACATTAATTTGACAGCTAATATATGTATTGGTAAATACTTCGAAGGAGTATTTCAAGCATTAGAATCATCTTTACATACTTTGCAAAGACTTGATGTGACTAAATGTTTTTTAAAAAAGGAACAAGGGAAATCTTTGGGAAAATTACTCAAAAAGTGTCAACGAATAGGAAACATCAATTTGACAGGGAATAATCATATTGGTGAATCATTGGAAGAAGTATTTCAAGGATTAGAATCATCTTCAAATACTTTGCAAAGACTTAATGTTACTGAATGTTCTTTAAAAGAGGAACAAGGAAAATCTTTGGGAAAATTACTTAAAATGTGTTTACATTTAAAAGACATTGATTTGTCATGGAATAGATGTATTGGTGTATCATTGAAAAAAGTATTTCAAGGGTTAGAATCATCTTCAAATACTTTGGAAAGACTTAATGTTAGTAACTGTTCTTTGAATGAAGAACAAGGGAAATCTTTGGGAAAATTACTTAAAAAGTGTTTACATTTAAAAGACATTAATTTGTCATGGAATAGATGTATTGGTGAATCATTGGAAAAAGTATTTCAAGGATTAATATCATCATCAGGTACTTTGAAAAAGCTTAATGTTAGTAACTGTTCTTTATATGAAACAAAAGGAAAATCTTTGGGAAAATTACTCAAAAATTGTTTACATTTAGAAGATATTAATTTGTCATTTAATAGATTTTCTGATGACGCTTTTGAAGAAATACTCCAAGGATAGAAATCATCCTCAAATACTGTGAAAAAGTTTCATTAGTATGGTTGTTTTTTAAGAATGTCTAAGAAAAAGAGGTCTATTAGACAAATTTTAAAAAGAAATTGAAACTACTGAAATGTAAAGTTTAGTTTAAGATCTATGAACTATATTTGTGACATGAAAAACATTAAGGATAAAAATTTTTATAATTCCATTATTGTTGGAAGAAACCACTTTGATATTCATCCTACAAGCTATCTAATTAGTAAAAGATTATTTTTGTGAATTGAAAGTCCAAACAAAAGTTTCAATTACAGACAAGGAATAAAACAATATAAAATTGTTAAATTAATTGAAATGCACACAATCAGTTGAAGATTATAAGACAAAAGCAACTGAAAAAATAAAAATGTATTACCTTTTCAACATTCATGTTTCCAGTGTAAAATTTTTTCAATGAGTAGCCTAGGTGAGAAAATATCTTTTTTATCATTTAAATCTGTTTCTCAACAACATTTTTGATATTCAAAACAAAGTTTTAGTAGGAAGCTACAATAAAAAATAGATAAGTTATAATTTATTACAATGAAACATTGAAAAAAATTAATTCTTTTTATTTGATAAAAAAATATTTTCAAAACAACTTTTCCATTTAATGATATATTTCTTGAATGGCAAGAAACAAGTGTCTTTGTAATCTGGCTTATTGCTAAAATCATGTCATTATCCAAAAATACCTTCTTCCCTGTAAATTGTTCATATACAAGTGATAAATTAATTTGACCAAAAACACAATTTTCTACATTCTCATAAAATTCAACTATTGTTGTAAAATTAAAAAAATGAACACTCTAAATAAACAACAATTCTTGATTCTATTTCTTGAGAATCATTATTCAGGTGTTATTTATTAAAAAAACAAGATTTAAAAAAAAGATATTCAACTTGGAATTGTTGAACACTCAAAATAAAATTGAGCAGATGATGATCTATTTGATAGATAGATTGATTTTATAGCAATTTATTAATTTCTCCTTTTTAAATAAATGTTCACTGTTCAAGTTTTATTTGATCAATTAGACATTCAAACTTGAATTGGAATCTTGACATTCAATTTTTCTGTGTAATTTAGATGATATAAAACTATATATATTGTATTCTTAGCGCTAAATGGTAAAATGAATTTGAATTTGTTTCCTTTGCTTCCAAATATAGTTTTAAATAAAAAATATATAATATCCTCCAAGGTCAGAATAACTACAAAGAATACTTTCATAAGAACTTTCAAGGTCATTTATTGATTTAAATAGAATTGTTGGTTTATTAGAATGTTTTAGAGATTTATAACAAACTGTTTATTTTCAATAAAAACATATTTCTTCTGTAATGATCTACTTTGACTTTCATTTGAGATGATGTCTTTTTAGAATTGGCGAGTGGAAAATGAATTTGGACAAAATACTATATAGAATTGGAGAGATTAGCATTAGTTTTATAAATTATTTTTCAAATTTTATCAAGTAGGTCTATCTAGCTATGCTTCATACCATTTACTTATATTCCATATTCTTCTTACATATATTAGGTACCATCAAAAAATTTCAAATTCTGTGCTATAATTTTAAAACGGCTTAACTAATCACACTGATACTTTCTAATAAACTTACTGAATTAGTAAACTTTCACTGTGTAAACTTTCATTCGATTCTGTCAAGCCATTTCAAATTTATTTTGATGTAAGCAACTACAAGTTATGTCCACACGTTCCACTCAACAAAATATCATTGCATTTTTGGCGCATGAGAAGGTCTCTCCAAGGAAAATTTATGTATGGTGAAATTTTTTGATTGTACCTAATACATACAGAATCTAAACACAAAGTAGTTCTGAATGAATGTATTCAAGTCTTTATAATGTAGTGTAGACTTTTTAAAAATTTTGAATACGTTCTTCAAACTTCATTCTGTTTTGAATAGTCGTTGGATTAGTTGGCTATATTTAAAAACCTTCGCCTTTTTATTGAACTGTTTAAAGACCACAAAAATAAATCAAATGGCAGAAAGATCAACACAAGTCAAATTTTTAACTCGATGATCTAGACAATAAATCAATACTTAGCTTTAAACTTGAATTTATGGTTTATGAGATTTCAAAAGAACCCTGTGAGATCTATACTGAACAAAAATCATATATTAAAAGTACAATCCCATTTCTCTTGCACCGCAAAATCAATCTTTGGTCATTATCCCTTAGACCGCTGTAGTCATTGGTAAAACTACAAAAACATTCGCACACCCCATAGTATATTTTTTAATAATTGAATAGTGTAAGAATTTTAGGAATCAATTGAATAGGATTCAACATTGAAAATCCTCTTCTGTAGAAATAGAATGAGGATTAAATTGTTGATCTTTAAGTCTTTAAAAAAATGTTAAAACATACTGTTCTGTTATTCTGGAAGAGTAATTTCTTCTCTGCCTGATTTCTTTTACTTATCGATATCCTACTGCAACAATCTCTCTGCAATAATTTCGTTTAATATTCCAATGTCTCTATCACTTTATTCCTATAGCTACTTCCATTTAATAGTCTAATTGTTTATTAGAAACCAGTCTAAACTTATTTATAGTTCTTTTAATATGAAAGCTATTTTCATAATGATAGCTGCTTACTTTAAATCATAAACTGGATATACAGGCTTGTCCTGCTGCAGCTATTTGCTTGGATTCTTACGGGAAATTGATATTTTTCAGGCATTCAACCTTGCATTCAACCCACTTTTCTATATTGACAAAGATAGGGGGCCAGTGACATATTAATGGCCATACCATACCTATTAATTGTTAGTTTATGTTGCACATTTTTAGTCACAAGTTCTCTCAATTAAATTATCAAAATGTGTGATGATGATACTTCAGCTCTGGTTTCGTTAAAGCTGGCTTTGCTGGTGATAAAGAACCAAAAGCAGTTTTTCCCTCCTTTGTTGGTAGACCAAAACATTCTACTGCCTTCTACCGAAGAGATTTTGTTGGAGATCAAGCACAATCAAGGAGAGATATCCTACATCTTAAATATCCAGTACAACATGGTATTATAACTAACTGGGATGATATGGAAAAACTATGGCACCATACTTTCTACAATGAACTTCGTATTTCACCTGAAGAACACGCTATTTTGCTGACAGAAGCCCCCTTAAACCCAAAAACCAAACGTCAAACCATGACACAAGTAAGATAAAACAAAATAAATATTTAGTAGAAGGGGTTATATAAAAACTTTAAAGTAAGTTGACTATTTTCCCCATACTGTTGTGTTGCAGATTCTATGTTCTGTTGGCCCATCATTTAACAAAACTTTCTGCCTATTATAAGCCAAGTAATAATTGATGCTGTTTATCTTTTTTTGCAGATAATGTTTGAAACATTCTCCAGCCCATTTATGTATCTAAGTAACCAAGCTTCACTTGCCCTGTATGGGTCAGGAAGATCAACTGGTGTGGTTGTGGACTCTGGCTATGGTGTTAGCCATATTGTCTCAATCAATGAAGGTTATGCCCTTCCTCACGGAACTTTGCGTCTTGATATGGCTGGAAAGGATTTGACCAATTACTTGATGAAACTACTTTCTGAAAAAGGTTATGTCTTCACCACTTCAGCTGAGAAGCAAATTGTAAAAGATATCAAGGAAAAATTAGGCTATGTGACACCTGATTTTGAGGAAGCAATGAGAAAGTATGATTCATCTGTTGAAATGAAGTACAAATTGCCTGATGGACAAGAAATAGCTATTGGAAAAGAGGCATTTCGGTGTCCTGAAAGCCTATTCAAACCTTACTTTTTAGGAATGGAATCAGATGGTATACACAGAACAATTTTCAATTCTATAGTGAAATGCGACGTTGACATCAGGTGATTTAAATTTTCTTTTTTATTTATAATTCTATTATTGAGCAAACTTAACATAGTAAACCCTTTGGCTTTTGTTTACAGAAAGATATTGTTTGCTAATATAGTACTGGCTGGAGGTAGTAGCATGTTTAGAGGTATTGAAGACAGGCTGCATAAAGAGATAAAGAATTTAGCTCCATCTTGGATGACCACTAATATTATTGCACCGCCTGACAGAAATTTTTCTGCATGGAATGGAGGTTCCAGTCTTGCATCTTTGTCTACTTTCCAACATATGTGGATCACCAGGAATGATTTTTACGAATATGGGCCATCCATTGTACACAGAAAGTGCTTTTAAATATTTTCAAACTGTAGTGTCTGCAAGACAGTATCAGTTTTTGACAGTTTTTACATTCAATATATTCTTCTAAAGGTTTTCACCTATTTAGATAAGATCTCAATCTTGTATATTGTCAATGGTTACAACTACAAAAACTTGGAAAGTAGCCATGTCTTGCATCGTGCTTTGCTCTTAATACATATATCTAAAGCTTATTATTCATTCTACAGTGCTCATTCATACCATTAGTAATTATTGATAATAATATAATGTACTGCTTTTGCTTGGCCAATTTTGGCAAGTTATAACAATACTGGTTCTACTAGAACCTTCAAACAAATTTTTAAATTAAAATGGTTTATTCGAAATAATAATACTTAAGCAAGTAGCAATATGAGAGTTCAATAGCAGAATAGATAGTTCGTAGTAGCAGGTTGCCAAATTACCAAACTGTCTTCCAATGTTAAGGAGTAGATAGATGGTTCCAGTGGAGGTTGTTTCCAGGTTATCTTCCCAGGTCCTTGGGTCCAGATAGGAATCCTTAGAATAAAAATAGTGAGGATTTATATACTTTGAGGTTTGCCTCTGACATCCAATCATCACTTTATAGTTGCCGAAATGTATAGTTCATATTTATGTTTAGTAACAGGATGTTACAAGGTTGAACATTTAGGAAGGTTAATTGAATTATAACTTAGCCACACCTTGCCAACATTGGGCAGATGGTACAAAGGATCAATGGTAAGAGAATTTAAAGTTATCCAGGGAAGATGTTATTTTGCTTTGCGCATGAGAATTGCTAAAAGCAGAAGCAGAAAGAGGCAGAATTTAAATGCAATAAAAATAAAAATTCATATCATAACTTCCCACTGGAAATGAGAAAAGCTGCCCAAACAAACATCTACCTTATCACATGGAATTCATCAAAATTTTAAGAATTTAAAAGAATTTACAAAACAATTATCAATTATTCTATACAATCAATTTGAACAACAAAGCAGAATGATAACATTACTTGTAAATTGAATAAATAAAGTAAACGACAGGAATATGTGGACACTATAAATTTTGATAGGTCAGCTTTTAATTAAAGGTTAAAATTGTTTCTTTGGGTAGAGAGATAGCCAAGGTGAAAAGGATTATGAAGAAACTTAAAGATAACAAGGATAGGGCGACCTCCAAAGATTGCAAATGGAGAGAAGAATATCGTCTCAAAATGATTAGCGAAAATCTAGACTGGTCTAGCATTAGTTTTACTAATGAGGCTAGATTTTTGCTAAGTCGACCAATACCATTTAGCAGTGACCTACAACACCTTAATGATATTACTGAAATATTGAGCCCCTGTGTCTCCAATTGGATAATAATAGAAAATTTTGTCAATGCCTTTCTTATTATTGACATAGAAACTAGGATATACTAGCCAGTGTATTCTGGTATCAAAAAATGTCTGCAATTGTTTTGCAGCTCCTGGCCCTTATCTGATCAACAGCTGATTGATTATTAAAATTTTTGTTGAAATTCAGTTTGTCAAGAATTCTTTAAAATATGTTTACATAGGAAAATTTGAATAATTTTCCCTAATTGCAATCTCATACTGGGAAATATATAAACATATATAACAGTATGTAAAAACTTACTTATATATGCAATCCAAAGTAAAAGAAAGCTAATTTGAGTAGTATTCTGCCTGAAATAAGAACTTAACATCTTTCCAGCTAAACAAATATGTATAGGTGTCCAAAATCCATAAAATGTCACACATGTTAAAATCAATAGTTTAATCACTCTAAAATTTCTATTAGATTTTTTAGAAAATATTTTGAAATTTGCATGAATTTTTGTATTTTGTTTTCTTAAGTTAAAAATAACTTTAAATGTTGAAAAAAGTATGATTACAGATGTTAAAATTGGTCCAGAAATCATATAAAAAATTACATGTAAAGTGAATTTAATTGGTGGTGAACAAATAATTTCACTTTTTAAGAAAATGTATGGAGGAATTTTTAAAGCTTCTATCAAAGGTAGACTTGCAAGACAGATTAGAAACATCCAAAGAAAACCAACAATCATTTTCACTCTCCTGTCAGTTACAATAATTTTATACCTAATAAACAACAGACAGGAAAAAGATTGTTTATACCATCAAGAAAATGGCTTCTAATACTACTCACTTTTTAGGGTATGTTATGGCAATATAACGATCAGTTGATATTAATGCTATTGTCCAGAATGATACCATAGCATTTACTGTCCACACTGCACCAACACATTGGCAATATAAATATCCATAGAAAAATTGTCCATAAATTGAAGTAACAAATGATGTTGGTATAGAAATAACATTTGTCATAAAATCAGCAAATGATATACTTATTAACAGAATTTTTGTCACCATAGGTATTTTTTTAACTTTTGGCAAGAAAATTATTGCTGAAAGTGATGAAAAAAATGACAAAAATACTGGAATACCAATTACAATGGACCTTAGTGGATTTGAAAATGGATGTTGAAATGTTCTGTTATCCATTAAATATGAAGATATTAGATTTGTTTTGTCCAAAAAATTCTTTAAACGTACACACAAAAAAAACACACATAAATTGACTTTAATTTCAGCTGTTGCAAATTGTTGATATTGTAAATATAATTTAATTATTACAGTTTTAAATTACACAAAATTGGTATGTTTTTAATATTTATTATAAATAATTACTGACAATTAACATTTTTCAAAGTGTAGCATATCATAGAAAGTTGGAGGAGTAATTTTCTCAGTAGAGTCATTTCAAAAGCTTCTTTGTTAGTTTCTCAAAAAAATTTCCATCAAAACAAGCTATTTTTAGAAAATAGGTCATAGTATATGATTAAAGGCTTAGGGATGTTGTTGAAAACGCCCACAGTTTTTCAGTTTGACCCTAACCCTAACCCAGCCCTGGACCCTCTTTTTATGGCTTTACTGTTCCTAACCCTTAGTTTGGACCCACCTAATTACAAATCAATTGCTTAAATACTTTTCCTAACCTAATGCCAACCCAAAATCTCACCCCAAAAATACACCAAAATGGGCGTTTTCAACAGCCCCCGAATTTTCTTTCATACAGTAATTGTTTGTTGTGTCTGACGTGATTTATCATATTTTTTTAAAACAGAAATTTGCGTATACTAAAAGTATACTGACTGGAAGTGATGTCACTAAAAAATATGTAGTGATGCCAACCAAAAGTAATGTAATTCGTTTACTTTGTCCTCTTTTTCTCTCATAATTTTGGTTTGAAATTGAAATTCTTTTATTCGACGCTGAAAACAGCATCTTAGATACAAAAATATTACATAAAAATAGTGAAATAATAGGAATTAAACTATAAAGTGTTGCATGGACTGAAGATTGTATTTTTGTTGTAAAGTACTCAATTCCTCATATTTTATATTTATAGTCAACAGGAGAACCCCATCTATCAGTTGGATGTTTCAGGATATATGAATGAGAATAGAAAAAAAATCCATATTCATAATAGATAAAAAATTCGAAAATAATTATACAACAAATAATTTTAGCTTTAAATCTTGTATATAAAGCTTTAGCTTTTGTTGGGTAAATAACAAATATTGTTCTTTCTATTGTAATGGCAACAAGTATCCATGAACTAGTTAAACTAAGAAAGTATTGTAATTGTTCCTCTAAATATACAGACATAATATAATGAGATTTGAGTATTTGTAAGAAATGAGTCAATATGTCTTGTACTTTGAAAAAAACTTCATAAAATCAGATATCCAGTGTCAATAACTGATAAAAATATTAGATAGATTGATATTGAACAATTTTTCATAGATGATTTATTAAATATTATAAATGAACAAATATTTCCAAACAGTCCAAATGTAAAAATTATTATATTTGAAATTATTCTAATTATTAAAATGCTTCTTGGACTCTAAAGATCAAGGTCAGGATTGAACCACAATGTTGTATTATTCATCTCTTCTGTCTTTACCTTCACTCCATCACTCTCCTCAAATCCTGCACATTCACACACACACACACACACACATATATATATATATATATATATATATATATATATATATATTGTACAACTTTGGTTATATTTTACATGCTTGAACTCTATTATTTTATGCAACATATACATGTACATCTTAAAACCTACGCAAGAAAATGCTATAACATTGGCCAAACATAAGTCTGATTAGTCAGCTTGAAGGTTCATCTTTAATTACCAATAAAGGTTTGGCCAAGTTATAATTTAATTAACTTGCCTAGGGTGTGGCCAAGTTATAATTCAATTAACCTTCCTAAATGTTGAACCTTGTAACATCCTGTTACTAAAGATAAATATGAACTACACATTTCGGCAACTGTAAAGTGATGATTGGATGTCAGAGACAAACCTCAAAGTATATAAATCCTCATTATTCTCATTTGGCATGCAGCTTCCATCTGGACCCAAGGACCTGGGAAAATCATCTGGAAACAACCTCCACTGGAACCATCCATCTACTCCTCAACATTGGAAGACAGTTTGGTAATTTGGCAACCTGCTATTACAAACTATCTACTCTGCTATTGAACTCTCATATTGTTACTTGCTTAAGTATTATTATTGCGAATAAACCATTTTAATTTAAACATTTGTTTAAAGGTTCGAGTAGAACCAGTA